CAATTCCTAACCCAGAGAGGGACAACCAGCTTTATTTTAACTCGATAAAGATACAATGGCTATTTAGGAATTTCATGGGAAAGGAAAATGAAGAAACCTTAGTAACTAAGCAACAGAGCTAGAGTTGGAAGAGACTTCACTGTACCAGATACCCAAATTAATAAAATCAAAACTATTGTCATATGCCAAGATCAGAGGCAGCACCAGAATAAACTAGGGTCTAGCTTTTCAGTGTATTCAGTTCAGTCCAGTTACTGCTGATACAGGGTGGCTCATCTGTCCTGTGATGTCTTACGGTACCACAGTGATTCATAGGACTGCAGTATTGCAGTCTTTTCCCTGGATTCGAGGAGCAAGCACACCCTCTCACCAACAAAGGAAACTCATCCGTTCCTTCCTCCCTGATCCTCTCCCCTCACAGGGTGCTGCAGCGGCTCTCTGCCATGGGCAGGGCAGGGAGAGCGAGGGGTGAGGAGCCATGTGAAGGACACGTCCGGCAATTTCTGCTGTCCTGCCCTGTCCTAGGACAAGCAGCAATGCTAGCCTTTAACTAGCATGAGTCAGAGACACTGAGGCTGACTTTAAACTAGTTAGCATGAAACTGATGTTAATTCAGCCGCTACTTGCTATTCAGCCTGAGCAACACAGAACTTGGTGTGTGTTGGTTTGCCACACTAAGGGTAGAAGAATAATTAGACCCCCATTGCTTAACAAGCCACAAAATTCCTCTAATCTTCCTATGGCAGACTGTTTTCCAGAATAAACGACCCCTCATATGTAGGTCTTAAGGAGTCTGATATTCCTGCACAGATTTTGAAACCCATATATGGTTCATTTTTCAGAATTTAAGTAAATGAAAAATATTCTTACCTTGACCAATTTTGTAAAGGCCAACAGATATCACCAAGATGAGAGCCAGAACTTTTGCATATGTGAAAACATCTTGTACACGGGTTCCCCACTTCACATTAACACAATTAATAAATGTTAAGGAACCTGTAGAGAAAAAGAATATGCATGAGAGGAGCACTGATTTTTTTTATATCACATAAAACACATTTCAAATACATCCTTCCAGATACCACTTCTCTTTCAAGAAATAAAACAGAATCAAATTTCACCCTTTCAGGACCACCTAGATTTACTAAAATGAATGAAATGCCTGATTTAGAAGTTACACAATAGTTTTTTTGAGGACATTGTTTTCATGACAATAGGTACGATAAAACACATCAGGTTTTGAATTTTAGGACTAACTCCTGCTCCTTTTAAATAATCTTTCAGTTTTATGAAAGTCAGCAGAGTTGCTCACATGCAGAAGGTGAGATTTCTCTAAATGTTTTATCTGTGCTGAATTTTTTCCTGAAGTTCTCCCTGCCAATTTGAACTCTAGTCTACGTACAGAGTAAGAACAGCTTCTGCACTGAGAACTTTGGATGCGGTTGACAAGATAATGGATTGAGCCAGGCCAGCATGCTGTTACTCTGTGCCCATGGCTTAGTTGCTGTGCCATTCACCCTTTGACCCCAAGTCTGAAGATCACAGAAGTACTTACTTACAGAGTTCTCTCAAGCCTCAATTTTGACAGAATCTAGTAGAAATAACAAAGTAGTATGGTTGCAGAGAGTGGGTGGGATCAATTAATTCTCCTTTCCTCCTTCTGCCATATTCTTTGCATTCCATTTTGTCGCAGAAGTGGGACCCTGATGAGCGGATAAATCGCTGTGCTGAGTGTTGGTTCTTGGCTGGTGGCAGGTCCAGCCAGGGGCCGATCCACGTGCCCACCTCCGCTCGCTGTAGCACATACACACACATGGCATCACGGGCAACTTGTCCCTCTTGCAACTCCGTAATTTGAAACAGAGGTAGATGAAGAAAGGAAAAGGTATGCATTGGTACCACGTACAAAGCCCAGCTGCTGGAGAAGACAGCAGGCCAAACGCAGCATGGGTGGTCCAGAGCGCTCTCAAGCATGGATCAGAATGGGCTGTTTGTTCTCTAGCAGTTTCATTGGTCTTTCCTTCTTTCACCTGCCTTTAATCTACACTTCAGTTTTGAAAGGAAGGAAAAGGGTTTTGTAATGCTTAAAATGAAAACCATTTAGAAACCTTTCTATATAGTATTAGCATCCAACCACAGATGCTCACAGAACTTCTTGCCTTCATTATCCGAGTGACTCTGCATATTTGAGAGAGTGTCCTGTCAGCTGTCAAGGTAATAATAGACCCATTTACAGAAACAGGACCTGATTTGCCCCCACTGCTTCCTATTGATATACCAATCTTGTGCAATGGGGACAGAATTTTTGTTTTATTCTGGTATTAAGAAACACAAAAGGTTATATAATGGTTGTTCAAGCCTAGTGTCAGGTTTGAATATCATTTCAAACCTGTCTGTAAATAATGACTCCTGCAAACCTTGCTCTAGTAAACATGGCATATACGTGGAAATAAGATTATACGCTCTCTTAAAAATGCTCTCCTCAGTAGAACTTAAACATATACCTCTTTCTTAAAAGTACAGTAGCAGATATAAGTAACTGTTAGAATTATAGGCCTATATCTTGAAAATGATAAAGTAAATGTTGATTGAAGGTTTTAATACTGAACATTTAGGAGTCATTTGTGATGCTCTAAAGTGCTATTTGAAACACTGCAAAGGATATGTTTACTGCACATGTATATGACACAAAACATGCATCATGTGCTGCAGAGTGTAATTAAATTCAAGACAATGGGAGCTTACCATGGAATTCCCAGTAAATTCTAGTAAATGTATATATATTTTAAAAAGTTGTATCCACTAGGTTGGTGAAATGCCAATTAAATCCATGCTCCTGAGCCTTATCAAAATTGTTCAAGCTGGGAATAAGTTTGCTATCTGACACTGCTAAACTGTGTATCACAGTTAATATAATACACTGCAATTCTCCCTGCAATCTGGGCTGTTACTCAAAATGCTAAGCCTAGTCAGTGGTGAGGCAACTAATTTGCTGTATGAGAAAGCAGCCACTGCCAGACACACCTGGGGCATCAGCTCAGAAATCAGGTGCCAGAGCACAGAGCTGATTCACATGAAGACCTCAGCAAGAATAGCTAAGAAAATGAAGGCTTAAAGAAACATCAGCATTTGAGGACTGCTTCTCTTAAGTGTTAGGATTTCATGAGGTGCACCTAGAACACTGGGAAAAGAAATTCTGATCTAATAAATAACTGCTTTCCTGTGCAACTGGAGAATTTCAGGTAACAAAGTCTTCTGGAATAGGGCTAGTTGCCTTTTAGACTGCTGAGTGGTCATGATGGTCTCAAGTTCTACCATGGAGCCTTTTCAGAAGTGAAATTCCTCCTTGCACAACAGTGGCAAGAGTCAGTGCTACAGAGAAAACACCTTCTCAGAATTGTCAGGATACCTTATGTTATCTTAAGTTAAAATTACTTATCCTTTTGGAAGCTTTTGTTGAGCTGTACAGTTTAAGCTGTTTTTAAAAGATCATGCTATAGCACAGCCAGAAACACATACGCCATCTTGACAAATCCACATCTGTAAGGAAAAGAATCTGAGTGCAGTTCACCTACTGGAGGATAGATTTGTAACGCTTATTCCTATGGTCACCTAAGATATACATTCATGACAAAGTCAGCTCTGCAGAGTGTCTGATTACACTACACAATTTTTCTAGTGACATTTGTATTAGGCAGAGTATTTTTAATTCCATATGAATTTTAAGATTTTTGTTCATTTTTTGCAATTTGCGAGAAATAGGGGAGAAAGGACATGGACCAAATGCGGGCTGCAAATTAGGTCGATGATCTGCAGAGATGTACAGATCTCTAATCAGCAGTCATAGTTTCCCCCCGCCAAATTGTTGTAATTCTCCTCTCCCCTCTAATAATCCTAGCTCCAAGTAAAATCCATCTGAATAAAAAATTATTAGTTCCTAAGAACATGTTTTAGAGAGGCAGTAATTATTTTCACAGAAGGTGAAGGAACAGAAATTCAGAAAAATCCTCTGGGCACCTACAGTTATAGTTCTTAACTTCTAGGAATCATAACATCACTTACAAATACAAGCAGCTGCAATCAACCTGACTGCATCATACGGCGGCTCACAATGAGGAAAAATTGGTTGAACAATATAGTTAGCAAACGTGATTGCTATCACTGCCTGGGTTGTTGGTTCGATAATTAGCAAGGAAGACCACAGTCTGATGAAGGCCACAAAGGCACCAAATGCTTCCAGGATATAGGCATAGCTGGCTCCAGACTTAACGACGGATGTTCCCAATTCAGCATAACACAAAGCTCCAAACAGTGAAAACATCCCACCAAGCGCCCAGATGACTAGAGAGAGTCCATAGGAAGCACTGTACATTAAAACACCTCTGGGTGATACAAATATCCCAGAGCCAATCATGTTCCCTACAATTAAAGAAATGCCATTTAGTAACGTGATTTCTTTTTTCATCTGCATTTTTTCACTTGTGTCTGCCATATTGTCCAGTTCAGCTTTTCCATTCTTAGTTTTGGATTTTTTGTTGCAACATATTCGCCAGGGGGCTGGCATCCTCAACTGTTGTTACCTGAAAACAAGAGGAGAGAACGTTTTAGGTAATGCACATGGCATTAGAGAGACAGGTAAGATAATTAGCATAGAAGGCATAAATGGTACAAAGAGCAATGATTTTGCCTGTTTCTGTCTTGCAGTCCAGGAACCACATACTAGTGGATTTGCTTAACTTTCACTGTTCCATGCCTTTTTAATGGATAAATGTGAAGCCACTGTCTTTGGTTATGGATTCTGAATCTTTCAGGAACTCTGAGTTGACTTTTATTGTTTAGCTCGAATTGTAATTCTATGTTATGTTATTGAAGTTATCTTAGGCAAGAAAGAGACATGGTACCCCTGGAAACATGTTCTAATACAGCTGAAGTGTCCCCCACAGATATAGCTCTCCCTAAATTTTTCTCTCACCCCAGGGAGAACTTTACTTCATTATTACTTGTTTCATCAAATTGCATCCATCTGGAAATTATCTGCTGAGGAACACAAGAGAAAAGAGAGAGGAAGATGCTCAAGAACTCCAGTCTCAGGAGGTTAATGTCAATCTGAGGATAAAGAAAAGAGCTTTAGCTGTTCCTAGAGATGAGATTGCTGCTGCAGTGAATAATGCAGACTGTTTAGTTATTAACCTCACCTGACTTCTGGGTAGGAGCCTGTCCTGGTTTCGGCTGGGATAGAGTTAATTTTCTTCCTAGTAGCAGGCACAGTGCTGTGTTCTGGATTTAGTAGGAGAAGAATGTTGATAACACACTGATGGTTTAGTTGTTGCTAAGTACTGCTTATGCTAGTCAAGGACTTTTCAGCTTCCCATTCTCTGCCAGGTGCACAAGAAACTGGGAGGGGGCACAGCCAAGACAGCTGACCCAAACTGACCAAAGGGCTATTCCATACCATATGGCATCATGCTCAGTATATAAACTGGGGGGGGTTGGCTGGGGAGCAGCGATCGCTGCTCGGGAACTGTCTGGGTGTCGGTCGGTGGGTGGTGAGCAATTGCATTGTGCATCACTTGCTTTGTATATTGTTATTATCATTATTATATTGTTATTATTATCATTACTATTTTACTTTATTTCAATTATTAAACTGTTCTTATCTCAACCCAGGAGTGTTTCTCACTCTTACTCTTCCAATTCTCTCCCCCATCCCATCGGGGTAGGGGGAGTGAGCGAGCGGCTGCGTGGTGCTTAGTTGCTGGCTGGGGGCAAACCACGCCAGAGCCACTACCATGCATAGGGACTGAGTTTTGAACACCCTGTTCCTGAAACACTTTTATATAAGGGAGTCCAACAAAACACGACTGTAAAAGCTTCTCACTCTGGTGCTCGCAGGGCAGGATCCAAGTAGGCTGGGAGCTGGGAAAAATGACATAACTGCGTAGCTGCATCAGTAAATCAGCCTTGTACCCACATTGTACCCCTCTGGGGCTGAGGTCCTCAAGGGTGGGGAAGGGAAATGTAAGAGCCAGGACTGCAGCGACTGTCTCAACTCTTTGGTCCAGCTGACTCATAATGATGCTGACTTAGAAAAATGACTTTTTTTGGTGCTTGTCTCAAAAGAAATTTATTTCTCCTTCCCTTCCCCGCTCCACACACACTCTAAAACACTTCCAAAGAAAACTTCCTCAAAATCCTATGAGCTAAAGCCAAGTTCCCTGAGTAGAACAAAACTCCTCCGCGTAACACTGGCCAAAAACTTTTGATCACAAATTTATGTTGTTAAAATGTGGGTCAATGGCCAGTTTAAAACAAACAACCCGCCCTCCCCAAACTTCCTGAAAGTTCTGCTTTCCTTTGTAAAGTATATCTGGTTTAGCAGCCCTGAATAATTTATAATTATATGTGTTCTTTTCCAGCTTATTTTTGGTGCAGCTCAGTTTCCTAGTTGATCAAATAACTAATGATGCCTGATGAGGATTAAAGATTAAAAGATGTCAAACTCTCTTCAAAGATTAAATGCTTTTCTCATCCCAATGGCACTTTCTCTAACTGCAGGAGCACTGTGGGAACACTGGAGTAGAGTTAAATAGTAATTTTTGCCATAGGTGTTCAAGCATCGCTGCTGAGTCTCCCATCTTTTGCAGACCTCCTCTTCACACATGGGTGACTCTTCTTACTTCCCACTTTGTGCCTCTAAGAATAAAAAACATCACCTTGGTCTCTGGGGAGGAATTTCAGGCATCCAATACACCAGGCATGTATCTTCCTTAAAATTCCTGATAAGTATTCCCAGTTTCCTACCACTAACACAATTTTTCTGATTGTGTGAAAGAAAGAAGGGGGAAAAAAAATCCACCCACCCC